AACAGAGCCTGAGTTCCCAGATTGGGAAACGGTGGTGGTGTTTAAAATAGAAGTGCAATGTCCACTCCATATGGTGAAGATTTAAACGAGGTTTTAACCAGTGGGAAATGCAGAATCACAGGGGACCCATGGCATGAAAACGTCTGCCAGCCAGAAGGAGAATGCTAAGAAGCGGGCCAGCACTGCGCAGGAACCAGGAATACCAGGAAGGAGATACAGTGGCCGTGGTACCCCTCATTTGTGGCTCCAGGGCTGGCTGTTTGCTCCCAGCAGGGCTGGGTGATAGAGCAACAAACCACAGCAGCGGCAGAATGGAAAGCAATATAATAGCCACACAGAGAAACAGCTACTTCAACACATGGTGTGGATGTGTGCATCTACATTTCAAACATCAGCAGGTACTGTGTACCCACCGCAGCAAAGCTAGCAGTGAGTTGCTTGAGGTTTTTCCACTCAGAAAGTAAAATGTAGGCAGTATGCTAGAAAAAATAAACACACATACTTGCTGGTACCACGGAATGTAGCCTAGGCTGGAATCAGATACCAGCAGTCATTTGAAAAAACACAGTGGTCCAAAAAGGAGAGAAAGATTGTGGAGTAGAGTGGGTTTATCATATTCCCTGTAATCCCCTGGCATCCAGTGAGGCAAATGATACAATGGCTTGTTTAAAACTGTGCTCCAAGGAAAGAAAACTGCAAAGCTAGGAAGCTGCAGAGCTAGATAAGATAAGGGCAGGATATTATCATAGCAGCCCTGCATAAAAATCACATGTACCAAGTTCATCCATCCACATGACAAAATACTGGCCAGAGTTTGTGACAAACATCTGTTTAGGTTGTGATGATGTTAAAAGTAGAATTTAGAACAAGATGAACGTGCCAACAGTTCTTCAATGCTTGTTTCTCAAAAATGTTCTGGGCACAACCTGAGCAGGGTTTCAGTAGCAGAAGGCTGCAGGGTGCCCTTTGTGGGAGAAGGCCCTGAACTGCTCCTAGACATAAGGAGCAGCTCCACGAGGCATGCAGAGAGGCTGCTGAAAGGACGGCAACTGGAGATGTGCTGCGGGCAGGAAGAGCACCACGTAGAGGGGGTATGTCCCTGAAGATCTGCAGCCATGGGCCCCTCTCACCAGGGCAGGGACAGCCTGAGGGACTGTGGGCAACCCACAATAAGGCAGAGGAGCAGAGGCAAACCAGAAAAAAGCTGTGGAAAGAAATCATTAGACATATGGCCTTTCTGCTCTGCCTGTCACCTCACCGAAGGAACAGTGATGGACTGAGTACAGACATCAAAAAACAGGAAATTAGAGTAGGAAGGCAGGGAGGAGAGGTGTTATGCTTAAAGCTGAACCTTAGAAAGAGAAACTGCTGAAGTCTTTGATTGATTCTTTTTCTCCACACTCAAAGCCACGATTCAGTTCATGTTAAGTGACAGCAAGTCAAGACTGCTCTGGTTATGACATTCTCTCAAAGCACTTATACTATACTCAAAAGTGTAGGCTCCTGTGCAAGAACTTGGAAAAGCAGTTTGACTAAAAGAAAGAGGCCTGCCCCTGTCAAGCTGATATTAACTGATGAAGATTACTATTATTACAGTATTTCACTAACACACCTGTCACTTGATGAAATACAACTTCACAGCAGTGAGAGGTTCAAGACAGGGTTCTGCTTTAGCTCTTTCTTTTTCAAGTGCAGTGGACTTCATTACACACACACCAGAGTAACATCAGAAGACACTGAAATTGGTCTTGGCTGGATGGCAGCAGGCTGAGTCACATTTAACTCCGGCCAAGTTAAATCACTGTAACTGCAGAAAGACTAAGGATTGTTGCAGTGATGTCATTTTGCTGTAGCAGTGCAGTGGCCATTTTATATAAATAATAAACATTAAAAGCTCTTAGCCATCTCAGCTTAGAGGAAACAAACACAGAACAGTATTTTCTGCACTTTCCATGTTCATGCTGCCATGTATGCATGTTAACATCCCTACTAATAATGCTTAACTGAAACTTAGATGTAAAAGGCACGCAGCTGTACAGCCCACAAAGCAGATATCAGTCTTCAGCAGTTCCTACACCATGCCCCTGCTTCAGATGAAAGCTCTATCCACAAGATTATTCACTTAACGCTGTCATCAAACTAACCGTGTTTCCCAATGCTGACTTGCCTCAACAAGAATCTAGAGGACACAACTCCTCCACTCACAGCCCTATAATTACAGCAGCCTTAGGAAGAAGGGATCTCTTTCTGTAACACACCTGAGGCTACTGATTTTGTAACAGAGATATGAAGGCACCCAGCATTTTCCTCACCACCCAGTGTTCACTACCACAACCACTTCTGGCAGCAATGGTATTTCAGTCAATAAGCTCTACTCAATTCTTGTGAGTAATCATATTTCAAGCTTATAACCTTTGAGTCTTGAGTCCTCACTGAGCAAACATCTTTTGGTCCCTCAGAAGTACAGAAGGAAAACTGAATCTTCTGCCTGTTTGCAAGATCTAGCAATTTTCTACTGTTCATCGTGCAAGGATTTTATTCTCCTGAGCTCTTTACATAAATTGTACTGAAAACCTGTTACCTAATACTTCTCATCAGTGCAGTTTGAGAAGCAGATACCTAAAATTAGATGCCAGGCTCATCCGGTGGTTTTGCAGAGTTAAAATGGCAGAGTCAACCTCATAACTCACAACCAGCCAAAGCAGGAAGTCTCTTTCCTGATCTGCTCCCCTCCTCCCATCTCGTTTCCACTCTTTAACTCTCAGCCCTGCCACTCCTTTGTGCTGGCTCCAACTCCTCTCAAACCCTGTGCAGAACAGGCTCAAAGCATGGGATTAGCCCTTTGCTGACTCATCAGGCTGAATCATCTCAGTACTGTTCAGATGGGCACTAGATCAAATGCAGATGGAGAGAAATGGGAGGATCCCACTTCTCAGCAGAGGCAAACTGTTAGATTGGCCATATATAATCACAGAATCGTTTCAGTTGGAAAGGAACTCTAAAGGCCATCTAGTCCAAACCCCCAGCAATGAACAGGGACACCTACAGGTACATCAGGTTGCTCAGAGACCTATACAGTCTGACCTTGAAAGTTTCCAGGGATGGGGCATCCATACTTCTCTGGGCGACCAGTTCTGACGTCTCACTAGCCTTACTGCAAAAAACTCCTTCCTTATATCCAACTTAAATTTCCCCTCCTTTAGTTTGAAACCACTTCCATTTGTCTTGTCACAGTAGACCCTGCTAAAGTCTCTCCTTCTTTTCTTATAGCTCTCCATTAGATATTGAAAGGCAGATAGCAGGTCACCTCAGAGCCTTTTCTTCTGCAGGCTGAACAGCCCCCAGCTCTCTCAGCCTGCCCTTGTAAGAAGATATAAAGTGATGACATAAAAACTTCTATTCAACCTTCCTCTGCATTCAGCCTCAATGATAGTTAAATTCCAGCTCTGCTGGATTTGCAGAGCTCATGCTTGGAGAAAAAAAGAAAAAAAAAAAAAAGCTGTGAAGTTAAAACTGCAAGCTCTTCTACACAAGCTGAAAGTTCACCACTGTTTAATAACACACACAAATACTCATGATAGATTGAATATTGTTTTAACCCCGATGCCTTTCATGTGCCTAAAATGCATGACTCAATATAAGTTCTCACTCCCAAGGCCATAGGCTTGTGTGCCTGGGTTCTGGAAGCCAACAGTCCAAGGGAAACTCATGTCTAAAGCTGCACAAGAGCTGAACTGCTTATAGTGTAAGTTCCTTAACTTATTATGGCAGTTCTGTGAATTCAGACTATAAACAGCCTACCAACAGTGAAATACAGATTTTCACAATCACAGACACAATCCAGGCTTCACCTTTATTTTGATCTAAGATTGCACCATCAGTGATCTGAAATTCTTCTGAGCAGCTCCACCCTCCCCAAACTAACATTCTCCAGGATTCTTAGGCATTCATAGGCATTTTGTTTCAAGAAAGAGTTCCCAAATTCATTGTTACCTAATTATTTGGTTTATATTATCAGCATAGACCAGTACTCCGATAAACTAACTCAAGTTTCAGAAGCAGTCCATTAAAAATGTAATATCAGTTTCTTCAGCACTCCAAACCGAATCCCCAAAGGTGCTTTTTGCACTACATTTCTAGGCAGCGCATTCAGAAATGCTGTTTCTGAGCGACTCCAAATACTTCTGCACCTTACAGGCATCGTACAAAAAGATCTTGTAGTCCAAGGCTATGAGGACTGTTTGCAGAAGAGCAGATTTTCTAAGTAATTAGTAAGACGGAGTCAGTTAATATACAATTGTACTATTTTTCCACAGTCCAGATTTGCTAATCCAGCAGTTCAGACTGCAGTGTGGCCGTAACAGCAGAACTCAATTCAAACAGGCTTAAAGCCAAATCGCTTCTCGCATCCTGCCGTGCCTACAGCTCTCAGCTAAGGCTGGGGGACGGCATCCTTCCTTCCATCCCACATCCTACCGCAAAGAGATGCAGAGACGTAGGTTTCCAAGGAGTTCACAAAGAACTTGGGAAAAAAAAAAAAACAAAAAACCAAAAAAAAAGCCCAAACACTAAAGCATAACATCAAATAAGCTTATTAAAGTGGCCTAAGGAAGATTTCTGATGAGTACGCCCCCGTTGCCCGAAATCCCCGTAACCCCGCTCGCTTTCCTAAAATGGAAGAGCGCCGCAGCGGGCGGTCGGGCACCGCCCGGCCCGACAGGCAGAGCCCCGTGGTGAGGCAGCGGGCTCCCCGCGCAGCGCTCATGGCAGGACTGCGAGCAGGAGAGCCATGCAGAAAGTTCAGGGGCACTTTTCCACTTAGTCGAAACTATAAAAACAAAGCAAAGGAGGCGCCCGCTCTCGCTCCGTCCCGCCGCCCCCCATGCCGCGGCCGCCTGGGGAGCCCCTCGCCCCGGGACGCGCGGCGGGCGGCGGCCCCTCGCCGAGCCCAGCGGGGCTGGGGGGGACCCCGGGCGGCCGCTCCCGTCGCCCCTCCTCACCTCTGACGGGGGCCAAGAGGGCGAGGAGCGCCGCCAGAAGAAGCCCGCTGCGCGGCATGGCTGTTGCCCGCTAAACTCCGCTTTCCCCCCCTCTACGGGAACGCCGACAGCCACCCCGCCCGGCCGGCTCGAGGGCGGCTCCCCGGCCACTCCGCCCTATCAGGCCGGGGAGCCGTGCCTCCGCGGGGGGAGCGTCGAGAGGAGGGCGGCGCGGCCCGCCGGGGCCGTTCGGATTAGGGCGGTGCCCGCACCGCTCCCTGCCGCCGCGGGACAGAACCCGGCCTGGCGGGCTGCGCGGGACCGGGAGCTGCCGGTTCCGGGCGGTATCCCCACTGAAGCGTCCCCCCAAACAGGCCGTTTCGTGGGTGGAATGAGCTGCAGGGCTTAAATAACTGGCACGTGTGGTGGTGGTCATGGAGAGGTATGCGTTCTTGCAGCTGGCTTTCATAGAATCCTGGAGATTGGAAAAGGCTGCTAAGACCATCCAGTCCAACCATCAACCCAGCTCCACCATGCCCACTCGGATCCATTTTGCGCCAGCCTATGTATTCCTCTTCTAGCATTCGTGGGACTCTGCCGGCTGGAAAAGTACAAAATCAGCTTGTTAGTGAATCACTGTCATGAACTGATGGGAATATTTTTCCTCCTTGACAGATTTAACCTGAGGCAATAAGGAGTTTAATTATAGTCATAAAATTACTGTCTTAAAATTTAGGATAAACTACTATAAAATAGGTGAGTTTTGCAGGAGGAGCACTGGAGTCCCTGGAGGACTGCAGGCTGGAGGATGTGAGTAGCAAGAGTAGCTTTTCTAGTCATAACGCCTATGGAATCAGCACTGTGTTCCTCTTACCTTCTTCTTTTTGGGACTTCTTGTCTAGAGGATAAGACCGAACAAATGTGCATGTAATTCAGTGGTGCTGTGTGGATACCTGTAGGAAATTACTAACGTGCTCTAAAGAAGTCTTTTAACAGTGTTTGTTTATAACCGTTGCTGATCATCACCTCATCACCTTCTAAGTTGCTCTCCTGATAAAAAGAGTAAGAATTTTAGTACTCCTCACAGCGCAGCGCAATTCTCTATTTGTACCAAAACTTTTGTACCAAAACTTTATTTTTTTGAAGAATTGCATAACTTGCAGAGAAAGCCTACTTTACCTCTCTGAAATAACCACATCAAATCAGGCCCATTTTACTTCCCTTTATCTAAATTAGTCCTTACTAATGTTGCCATCTTCAGATGAGATGGGAGCAATCACCTATTTGAGGTAATGAGATAGCTGTGATGGGCGTACTTGCATTTGACACTGGAGCTCCCCCTGGTTTCTCCTGGTTTTCAGTTGGCCCTACCCTTGAGGTAGGGATGTAGATCTCCGGTGCCAGTCTTTACATGGCTAATAAATTCTCCAGATGTATAAATACCAAGCCTTTTTTTTTTTTTTTTTTTAGTCTTACTAATTTTTTTAGTTGACATCTTGTGAAAACAAGTTCAGTTATTTGAGATTACCAGCTTTACTGTGCCTGTAACTTTAATTAAAAGATCACAGTCTTTACTATTTCACACTTAAAACCAATACATTTGTAAAATACAATAAAAAATGAGTACTAGGGCTGCTAATCTGACTGCATGAGTAATATGCATAATCTCATCGAGTCATTAAGGTTGGAAAAGACTATTAAGATCACCTAGTCCAATTGTCAACCCACCCCCACCATGCCCACTAACCACATCCTTCAGTGCCACATCCACATGGTTCTTGAACACTTCCAGGGACGGTGAATCCATCACCTCCCTGGGCAGCCTGTGCCACTGCATCACTGCTCTTTCTGAGAATGTATTTTTTCCAAATATGCAACCTGAAATCTGAATTTGACACCAACCTTTTTCAGTAACACTTGTATTTGCCCTGCTCATACTGCAGTGCTTGTCCTAGCAGCAGCTCCCTCACTGTCTCCTGCCTGTAGACTGCCAGGAAGCCTCTGCAAACAGCTCAGGCACTTGCTTGATTTGGATCAAGGAAGGAGATCTCCAAGGAAGGAGAGGAGCAAGTTGAATATTTCCTTAAGACTTAAAGAATGAGATCTTTAAAGGACGTGCATGCTCTGTGGCTTGACCTGAGGAAAAATATATTAGAGTAGCATGATCAAGTTTGGAAGTTGTAAACCTAAACTTCTATGATACTGTCCAAGCTTGAATATACTCTGATGAGAGCAGCTAAATGAAAGACCTGTCTTAGCAGCTGTCCATGAGCTGTGATGGTAACTGCACTCTCAATTTCTTCTAATTCCTCTTTTAAAGTTAAAACCTTGTTATTTTCCTGCCTCCACATAGTTTTGTGCTCATTTTACCTGTAAGGTCTCAGCCTTTCCAGAAACAGCATCATTCTTTGGATATTCAAAGAAGCAAAGGAAATAAACAGAAATAGTGATTTAGTTGCATTGTGTTAAAGGGATAAATACCAGTTTGGTGCTCTAGGTCTGCTTGCTTTCAAATAGACTTGTATGACCACCTTCAGGGAGTTTTACTATGCCCAATGAGAAGAACTCTTATGACTAGTGTACAGAACATTGCTTTTTGTTGGAGCAGCAGATTACAGATTCTTTTGAATTACTGATGAATCTCTATAGAGATCTCTAAGTTTTGTGAGGGAATCACTTGGTATAACTGGGTGTGTAAATCTCACTCAACAGGCATCCCTATGCGGAGGGAAGAGAAGTTCAGCCCATCAACTTCTTACAAAAGTCAGCAATGTCCTCCCGACTTGTCTGAGATAGTATCTTCCCTCAGAATTCCTATTCCCCCTTTCTTAAGCCATTTTTTGAGTTCATTTTTCACTCAGAGGGTGGTGAGGCACTGGAACAGGTTGCTCAAGGAGGCTGATGGATGACCCAACCCTGGAGGCATTCAAGGCCAGGCTGGATGTGGTTCTGGGCAGCCTGGTCTGGTTGGCGACCATGGACATAGCAGGGGGGTTGAAACTAGGTGATCATTGTGGTCGTTTTCAACCCAGGCAATTCTATAATTCTATGATTCATTTTTATATTGTTCTCTTATTCTCAGGTGACAGAAAAACGAACAACAGCTCACTCAGGGTGACTACTGTGAAGTTTATCAGTTCCAGAGTACCACCAGATTCCCTTCCCTGCAATGTTATAACAGAGCCTGGCTGCACGGCTCCACCCTCCATGCTGTATCTTCTAGAGTCAGCACACCAACCTCCCATGGTGCTCCTAATCTAAGGTTTGCAGGTCTCATGCAACTTAGGGAGCTATCATAGAACAGTATCCTTGAATATTCACTGCATTCTACCCTGAAGGTTTCTTCAATGCTTTTCTTCTTTTAAGAATATCCCACTAAATAACTTCCAATAATTATTCCACATAATCTGCCCCAAGAGTGTAGTCATTCAAGCTTCTCAGTATTTAGGAGGAATTGGTGAGGTCACATGCAGTCTTGTTATGGGGATTACATCTCAAGGAACTCTCGGGCTGCTCACTATTTATGAGGTAAGATTGCTGACAGTATTTAGCAGGACAGTGTTATCAGTTCTGAGTGAGGCCTTCGGCATAACAGCCTGGCTGAAGGAGGAGGTTGGGGGCAGGCACAACCTCGGAAGTTGCTACAGGCAAAGTCTTGAAGAAGAACAAGGCAGAGACCAAACAGGCTCCAGAATCTACCATGTAAACTTCACTAGCTCTCCTGTTGTGTGCTATGTTTTCATGGTCTCTACTTTGCAGAAAAGGATTAGACTGAAGGCACTGCAGCATAAGAATTTCTTCCTAAGGATGCAGATAATAAACCTCAACAAGCAGCCTGTTCAGTAACTCCTTTCAGGAGTTTATGCAGAAGATGTGTATTTCCACAACGGTATCTGCAAAGACCTGTTACCTGGTCTCAGTCATTCTGCTTTTCCTTCTATCAGTGCCTTTGGTACCACTTGTTCCCTTCTACTAGCAGAAATTGTTTCACTTGTCTTTGTGACATAAAACATTAGCTCGAATTATGAGGCATCAGGGCTACTGGGATGGATACCATCTCTTTTAAAGTTTATCCCATTTCTACAACTACAGACATTTCTCTTACTGAAAGTATAAACTGATTATGGTTTCCTATTCAGATTCTCTCCAACAGATTTTTTTTGTTAGCTTTCCCTTTCACTAACATCTGTAAATACTCTGACTACATTTCCTTATGCTGTAGACTATCCAAAGATCTATGTCCAAATTTTACCGTACTTTTCCGAACAGTACATAAAAACAAATATGATTTTATAGGTCATATTTTTTTTGCCTATTAATGTGCATATGAAGAGACATTAGGTGAAGTCTTGTTAAAAAAGCAAACGCGTATTATGGCATAAATATCATACAGAGTTTAGTTCCGTAATACACTATGCAGCTTATTCATTAATCATAGAATCATAGAATATCCTGGGCTGGAAGGGGCTCACAAAGACTATCTAGTCCAACTCATGACTCCATACAGGACCATCAAAATCAAACCCTATGTCTGAGAGCAGTGTTCAAACACTCCTCGAATTTCGGCAGCTCGGGGCCGTGCCCACAGCCCTGTGCATCCCGTTCCCCGCACACCGCGCTGTGGTGCAGCCCCTTTCCCTGACCCCCAGCTGCCCTCCCCTGACAGCTCCATGCCGTTCCCTCGGGCCCTGTCGCTGTCACACAGAGCAGAGCTCAGCACTGCCCCTCCGCACCCTGTGAGGAGCTGCAGCCGCCATCAAGTCTCCCTTCATCTCTGCTCTGGGCTCAACGAGCCAAGGGACCTCATCTGCTCCTCACACATCTTGCCCTTCAGATCATCAGTCTTCATAGTTCTCCTTTGGTCGCTCTCTAATAGTTTTACATCTATATTCTCATTTTGTAGCATCCCAATCTGCACTCAGTGCTCAGGTGAGGCTGCAGCCCAGCAGAGCAGGACAGCCCCTTCTGCCACCCAGCTGGCAGTGCTGGGCTTGATGCAGCCCAATACCGTATGTTGGCTCTCCTGGCTGCAAGCCACGCTGCTGGCTCACATTCAGCTTGCCATCAGCTAGAACCCCTTGACCCCTTTCTGCAGGGTTTCAGCCTCTTGGCCCCAGTTTGTACACAAATAGGGGACTGCAGAATCCAT